AATATATAATGTACCGTCGGTAATTGTCTAATATTGTCGGTAACTAAACTATTTCTATCAGCGGGTAATGAAATTGAACATAGGCCTGCCACAAAAAAAAAACTCTTCCCGGGATGTTACACATCTCTATGTAGCTGTTAGGCTCGTCTTGCGTGATTTATCACGGAAGCTCGGAGGTTGCGATAGTATAATTCAAGTCGTGCAGGGATTAAAGATTGAAGACAACAGTATAATTATATATCGGTATATTCTTCAATAATAATTCCTCAGGTATATATATATATATGTATTGTTCCTTTATAATATGTTCTTATGCTTACTCGCTCGATGAAATGGGTAGTCGTTTACGATTCCCTGAGAATCAGGCTGGGCTGATGTGACAATGGATGGCTGGACGGGCCTCAGGCAGGATTACCTAGCACTGAGGTTACCGATATGCAGACTATGGCGGACTGGCGCCAACTGACTCTGGGTGATAAGGAATGAGCTGGGTTTTATAGCGGTTGAGGACAAAGGAAATCATTCTAGAAGGTTCTGGATGATGTAAGAGGATGTTATGACTAGGTGTCGATAAGGATATTCTGATTAATTTATCTTGAAGGATATTTGTAAGACGAGATGTAGGAGTTTCGTGAGAGGATGTTATGGTTTGTTGTCGATAAGGGTATCATGATTAATTTGGCTAAAGGATGTTTATGAGTTGGATTATCGGGAGGATGTTTATGAGATTGAGTTCGAGGAAGGGACTTATCTTGTGGGAAAGGAATGTCGAGCGGTTCCTACGCTACTTGATTACATATTGGTCCCTAACTCTATACGATAACGTATGGTTAAACATCGCATATAAATGGAATATAATATGTTCTAAAACTAAGGTTAAACATGGAGTGAGTAGTATCTTACGGCTATGGTTACATATGCGTCTTATACTCTATGGTTACATATGTGTCTTATATTCTATGGTTACATTTATGTCTTATATTCTATGTAAACGTCGGAGGCCCGACGTCACATAGGAATGAGCCCTGTTTGCTTCAGCCAACTGATATAAAGTTCTCTTGAATTGAGTACTTAGTCACACAACCTTTCGATATTCCAAGTCCCCTCAAGGACAGAATCACGACTGGTCGATGCCATCTTATAATAACAAAGCAATTGAACTTTGGTAGTAAAAACGTGTATTAGAGAATGATATCTAAACACTATGTTGCAATAAACACGAAAAAAAAAAACAAGAATTTGCAACAAAATGAAAATCGAACAGAATTCAGAAAAGGAAGTGATAGCAATATGAATAAACAGATGAATAAATAAGGAAACGGAAATTCTTTCAAATGTATGCTAAAAAAAAAAGAAATCAGTTTAAAAGGTTAAGTAGCTTAAAATTGCTGAATTCTAGCTTTAGCCGTTTCTCGAGAATTTTCGGCCAGGATTACATTTGCCGAAGGTGAAATTTTTTCAGTGAGTAACTTGAATCATGAAAAATATTTATACAAATTTTCATCAAGATCTGAAGGTTGGGTCATACCGTAATACACATAACATTTGATTGTCTCTGTGAAATATATTATCTACTTTAAATCAAAATTATAAAATAATTATTGAAAATTAAAAATATATATATATATATATATATATATCGACCGTTCAACTAAATACATAAGATAATTGATAATAATCTATAATAGATAGGATTGATATATAATATACTGTCGGTAAAAGTCTAATATTGTCGGTAACAAAACTATTCTTACGGTGGGTAAATGAATTGAACACAAAACTGCCATGTTGGTAACGAAAACAAAAAAAATTCTTCCAGGGATGTCACACTTTCTCCAAATCTCGCCGGGATAATTATCTTCGGTAATTATTCTAGCGTCCTTTACTATGTGTTCGGTAAATGTTCGGTAATCGGTGAAAAGGGCTCTGGAAATCGGGGGGTTTTCAATAACCCGTTCAAGTAAATTTTACACAGTTTATTAAACCACACAAAAAAAAAACACAAAACGAAATTGCACACACTACACGCACACGACGACACGACGAAGAAATTATTAGAAAGTATAATCGAAATTGTAGTTCGGTTTCGCGCACCGCGTATTTACTATGCAGGATTATCGCGTCTTGTGTTGACAAAGGTTGGCTTGGTACTCTCTCTCGCGAGGGTCGGGCGATCACTTAAATTCGGGAATCCACGGTAATTGTCGTCATCACGGCCCAATCAGCTGTTGCTTATTAGACATGACGACGACGGGAACCAATAAATTTCATACCGGTAACGGGGGGGTTCTCGGTGTCTCTCGATCCTTCGAGAACGCACCGAAAGAGATCTTCCGGTGCGTCCAGGAGGACGAGAGACAGAAAACTTCACGGTTGGTTACCGACTGTCGAACTAAATAGATAGGATTGATATATAATATACTGTCGGTAAAAGTCTAATATTGTCGGTAACAAAACTATTCTTACGGTGGGTAAATGAATTGAACACAAAACTGCCATGTTGGTAACGAAAACAAAAAAAATTCTTCCAGGGATGTCACACTTTCTCCAAATCTCGCCGGGATAATTATCTTCGGTAATTATTCTAGCGTCCTTTACTATGTGTTCGGTAAATGTTCGGTAATCGGTGAAAAGGGCTCTGGAAATCGGGGGGTTTTCAATAACCCGTTCAAGTAAATTTTACACAGTTTATTAAACCACACAAAAAAAAAACACAAAACGAAATTGCACACACTACACGCACACGACGACACGACGAAGAAATTATTAGAAAGTATAATCGAAATTGTAGTTCGGTTTCGCGCACCGCGTATTTACTATGCAGGATTATCGCGTCTTGTGTTGACAAAGGTTGGCTTGGTACTCTCTCTCGCGAGGGTCGGGCGATCACTTAAATTCGGGAATTCACGGTAATTGTCGTCATCACGGCCCAATCAGCTGTTGCTTATTAGACATGACGACGACGGGAACCAATAAATTTCATACCGGTAACTGGGGGGTTCTCGGTGTCTCTCGATCCTTCGAGAACGCACCGAAAGAGATCTTCCGGTGCGTCCAGGAGAACAAGAGACAGAAAACTTCACGGTTGGGATTTGAATTCAGGGATCGCCCTCTCCTACTTGCCTAGATACGGAACACTATGAATTTACCCTTTCGGGCCCCACGTTGGGCGCCAAGTTGCTACGCGGTATTTCGCGGCTAGCTCGATCGTTTCTCGCGACCCCACTTCGCCCGCGAATACTCGACCGGAATTTCCCGACCTTGCCCGCGACTAGGACCGTCCCGGCGCCTTCACGGATTCGCGGACGAGTAACACTTCGGCGCCCTATGCGAATCCGTTCAATATCGCTTTAATTTACTTTGTAATTGTAGCGTCGCAATAAGGAACTTTGACGCGAAACGAGATTCTGCGGTGGACAGATAGTAAAATCGCTTATATCGCTTCCCGGAAAAACGCGGAAGACTCAAATCGGCGGCGAAACAGCTCGGTAGTTCAGTAGCCGAACGAAAGGGTAGAGTGGCGGGGTTCTTCAAGGGTAGAGGAGCTAAACGCGGAGGCGGACGTGAAAGAATGATTCGGGATAATCCGCGAGAGACCTCAATTTAGCGGTATTTGTTAAAACAGCGGTGTTTATTTAAAATCTAATTAATCTAAGACGTACAGTGTGACCCAAAATATCGAGACTCAATCAAATCGTGTCGCGCTCGGCGGAAGGCCGAGGTACGATTTCCGCGAGATTTTAAACACAGAAACGGTAAATGCCAGTTCTTAAGCGTGATACAGTCTTTGATTTAGCATCGATTCTCGGAACGGTACGCGGCGCAACGAAATTAACTAAAACGTAACGCAAATACTTAACAAAACGCGACGCAATTAACCGAACGGACGTAACGCGACGAAACTCGACGGAACGCGACGAGACGCAACTATTCTAAACGCAACGGAATCTAACGCACTTAAATTTACACTGATTCTGTATCGGCGACCGTCTAGAGAGAGAAGGCGAGAAGTTGCGCGACAAACACGAAATGTCCGGTACGACAAAGATGCACTTTACGTTCTACTCCCGTACCAAGAGTTCGCGAAGTCGAGACGTGGGAGGGCACAATATTGGCAAAGGCCTACTCGAGACGATACTTTGATTGTGGCTAACGCTGTACCATTCCCCGGTACAGGTTCGGGGATCCAGCCGAGTGGCGATTCGAGAGATCGAGAAGCTATCTCTCGACGACGCGAAAAAGTCCGGACATCGGGATCCGCGACCGTCCCGGACAGGGGCCCCCGGGTTTTACCCTTCTAACTTAAACTAATTTCCCTACGATACAAAGCCACTCCGGTGTCACATCCTGGCGTGATAAGGATTAGGAAATAGAGATTTTTGCGGGATTAAGGATATTTTGACAGGCTTTCGTGAGCGGTGAAGTTTTGTAAAAATCGGTGGTGAAATAATAAATCTATAAATAAAATCCTATTACCAACCAACTTTTGACAGACAAAGGATGCGAAGGCATCGTTGCCGAATTGTTATGCTGTTGCCATATCTATCAATCTATTTTTAGACGTCAAGCAAATTTTAGAAATACAGGCTCGAGCCAAGCTAGCTCTTTCTAATCCTAGCAAGCGCGACTCGAAGAAAGAGGAAGGGGATGATGAAAAATGCACTTGAGCCAAATGAAATACCCAAAACGACAGTCGATAGCATATCAAAAAAAGACATCTTACATCAAGTTTCAACCCTTTATTTCAACCATGGGGGCAGTAAAAAGGGAAAAACAAAATTTCGGTTTTTGACTTATTTTGCCTATTCAATCTAGTCCAAAAATTCCCAATTTGCCCGTGATCGAGACATGTAAAGCTTCTTTATTTTAAATATTTTATTTGGTTATACAATAATTTTATTTATAATTATATATTTATGATTACAATAAGTTATCTGTTTTGATTAATGATGAAGTAGTTTTTATTCATACCGCCGCGCCGCCACCCGGGGTGGTTTCCTCCGCGGCCTCCACGCCGCCACCCGGAGCGGCGTCCTCCTCCGCGGCCGCGACTACGCCGTACTTCATTATGTAAAAGACGCTTTAGGAGTTTTCTAATCTGAAACAGAAAAATATAAATTTCAAATATTTTTATTATACATTTTGTGTCAACAACTCCATTTTTTTACGAATTCATTCTGCAAGCAACATGGACGCCATGCACACACACTTCACACTTCAATGTGCTAATTATAATAATTTATTGCCAATACATAATTTAGTTGAACACATTACTTACTTTATTTTTAGAAAGCGCATGTTTTTTTTCCGTGCTTCTTTCCTCTTCCTCCTGTCCTTTTTTTTCTCTTTCCTCTTTTCTTTTTTCTTTTTCTTCTTTTCTTATTTCTGTCTTTTCTGTCAATTCTGCGGATGTTCCAGCTTCTTCCTCTTTTGTTGCATTTCGAACTAGATCCATCTAGAAACAAATAATTTACATAATGTAATGTAATTAACACTGGTAAGACACCGTACGCATGTCATTATACGCAAATTACTTACTTTTTCAATACCTTTACGTATGTCCGTGACTCCGTCCATAATCAATTTGCAATTGCTGGATCGATGATCGATTCCGCGATTCGCAATTATGCATCCCACCACTGTCCCTCAGTTCCACCACCATCTCTCATTACTGGTAGGAATATTACATCATAGTATGCTCTGCAAAATGCGTTCTCCTTCTCTTATTTTCTTTCTCGGTTTTTTCGCGTCTATGTTCATATCTCTTGACCGTTATACTTGCCTTACCGCACTGACCTATTCCAGTGTCGCGTGGCGAAGCAGGTGGTGGGAGAATCTGTCTCAGGGCGTTGACCCCAGAAGACGGATCAGCTGTTACACGTCGCTGCTTTATTTATGAAGTATCTGCAACAGATAAAATAATATAAATATACAATTATTATTCCTCATATTATATCGACTATTGTTTAAAATTTTATTTTGTGGAATCTGCAGCTTATTTTTTAGCAAAGACCTGTAATAATTAAAACTAAATGCTACATTTTATTTGAAAAGTATACATTACCTGCAACGTACGAGAAGGTGATGGGCTTCTTCCATTCTGATGGGATGAAATGAAGCAGAAAAGATAACATAATTATACTTTCACCCCGTGAACAAGTCAACA